AAGTGAACTCCCCAGGGGAGCCTTTACGCAGCCCCACATGCAACTGGACCCTCCGGGTTCGATTTTTCCGAGCAAACCTAAACGTAGCCCTAGCCGTCATCGGAGACGAGTGAAAAATCAGGCCCCAGGAAGTGCGTTCCAAGCCCCTTAGGACCATCCAAAAGTGCTCCCAAAGGAAGGCTTTGGGTACAACACAACTCCCCAGGGGAGCCTTTACGCAGCCCCACATGCAACTGGACGCTCCGGGTTCGCTGTTTCCGAGTATCCCTAAACATAGCCCTAGCTGTCATCGGAGACGAGTGAAAAATCAGGCCCTAGGAAATGCTTGCGTGCCCCTTTCGCCCATCCAAACGTGCACCCAAAGGAAGGCTTTGGGTACAAGAGAACTCCCCAGGGGAGCCTTTATGCAGCCCCACATGCAAAGGGACCCTCCGGGTTCGATTTGTCCGAGCAAACCTAAACGTATCCCTAGATGTCATCGGAGACGAGTGAAAAATCAGGCCCCAGGAAATGCGTTGCGTACCCCTTTCTCCCATCCAAAAGTGCCCCCAAAAGAAGGCTTTGGGTACAAGAGAACTCCCCAGGGGAGCCTTTTAGCAGCCCCACATGCAACTGGACCCTCCGGGTTCGCTGTTCCTGAGCAAACCTAAACGTAGCCCTAGCCGTCATCGGAGACGAGTGAAAAATCAGGCCCCAGGAAATGCCTTACGAGACCCTTTGGACCATCCAAAAGTGCCCCCAAAGGAAGGCTTTGGGTACAAGAGAACTCCCCAGGGGAGCCTTTACGCAGCCCCACATGCGACTGGACCCTCCGGGTTCGCTTATTCCGAGTATCCCTAAACATAGCCCTAGCCGTCATCGGAGACGAGTGAAAAATCAGGCCCCAGGAAATGCGTTCCAAGCCCTTTTCGCCCACCAAGTAAGTGCCCCCAAAGGAAGGCTTTGGGTACAAGTGAACTCCCCAGGGGAGCCTTTACGCAGCCCCACATGCAACTGGACCCTCCGGGTTCGATTTTTCCGAGCAAACCTAAACGTAGCCCTAGCCGTCATCGGAGACGAGTGAAAAATCAGGCCCCAGGAAGTGCGTTCCAAGCCCCTTAGGACCATCCAAAAATGCTCCCAAAGGAAGGCTTTGGGTACAACACAACTCCCCAGGGGAGCCTTTACGCAGCCCCACATGCAACTGGACGCTCCGGGTTCGCTGTTTCCGAGTATCCCTAAACATTACCCTAGCTGTCATCGGAGACGAGTGAAAAATCAGGCCCTAGGAAATGCTTGCGTGCCCCTTTCGCCCATCCAAACGTGCCCTCAAAGGAAGGCTTTGGGTACAAGAGAACTCCCCAGGGGAGCCTTTATGCAGCCCCACATGCAAAGGGACCCTCCGGGTTCGATTTTTCCGAGCAAACCTAAACGTATCCCTAGATGTCATCGGAGACGAGTGAAAAATCAGGCCCCAGGAAATGCGTTGCGTACCCCTTTCTCCCATCCAAAAGTGCCCCCAAAAGAAGGCTTTGGGTACAAGAGAACTCCCCAGGGGAGCCTTTTAGCAGCCCCACATGCAACTGGACCCTCCGGGTTCGCTGTTCCTGAGCAAACCTAAACGTAGCCCTAGCCGTCATCGGAGACGAGTGAAAAATCAGGTCCCAGGAAATGCCTTACGAGACCCTTTGGACCATCCAAAAGTGCCCGCAAAGGAAGGCTTTGGGTACAAGTTAACTCCCCAGGGGAGCCTTTACGCAGCCCCACATGCAACTGGACCCTCCGGGATCGCTGTTCCTGAGCAAACCTAAACATAGCCCTAGCCGGCATTGAAGACGACTGAAAAATCAGGCCCCAGGAAATGCGTTCCAAGGCCTTTGTGCCCATCCAAAAGTGCCCCCAAAGGAAGGCTTTGGGTACAAGTGAACTCCCCAGGGGAGCCTTTACGCAGCCCCACATGCGACTGGACCCTCCGGGTTCGCTGTTTCCGAGTATCCCGAAACATAGCCCTAGCCGGCATCGGAGACGAGTGAAAAATCAGGCCCCAGGAAATGCGTTCGAAGCCCTTTTCGCCCACCTAAAAGTGCCCCCAAAGGAAGGCTTTGGGTACAAGTGAACTCCCTAGGGGAGACTTTACGAAGCCCCACATGCAAGTGGACCCTCCGGGTTCGATTTTTCCGAGCAAACCTAAACGTAACCCAAGATGTCATCGGAGACGAGTGAAAAATCAGGCCCCAGGAAGTGCGTTCCAAGCCCCTTAGGACCATAAAAAAGTGCTCCCAAAGGAAGGCTTTGGGTACAACACAACTCCCCAGGGGAGCCTTTATGCAGCCCCACATGCAACTGGACGCTCCGGGTTCGCTGTTTCCGAGTATCCCTAAACATAGCCCTAGCCGTCATCGGAGACGAGTGAAAAATCAGGCCCCAGGAAATGCGTTGCTTGCCCCTTTCGCCCATCCAAAAGTGCCCCCAAAGGAAGGCTTTGGGTACAAGTGAACTCCCCGGGGGAGCCTTTACGCAGCCCCACATGCAACTGGACCCTCCGGGTTCGATTTTTCAGAGCATCCCTAAACATAGCCCTAGCCGGCATCGAAGACGACTGAAAAATCAGGCCCCAGGAAATGCGTTGCGAGCCCTTTTCGCCCATCCAAAAGTGCCCCCAAAGGAAGGCTTTGGGTACAAGTGAACTCCCCAGGGGAGCCTTTACGCAGCCCCACATGCAACTGGACCCTCCGGGTTCGCTGTTCCTGAGCAAACCTAAACGTTTCCATAGCCGTCATCGGAGACTACTGAAAAATCAGGCCCCAGGAAATGCGTTCCAAGGCCTTTGTGCCCATCCAAAAGTGCCCCCAAAGGAAGGCTTTGCGTACAAGAGAACCCCCCAGGGAAGCCTTTATGCAGTCCCACATGCGACTGGACCCACTGGGTTCGATGTTCCTGAGCAAACCTAAACGTAGCCCTAGCCGTCATAGGAGACGAGTGAAAAATCAGGCCCCAGGAAATGCGTTGCGAGCCCTTTTCACCCATCCAAAAGTGCCCCCAAAGGAAGGCTTTGGGTACAAGAGAACTCCCCAGGGGAGCCTTTATGCAGCCCCACATGCAAAGGGACCCTCCGGGTTCGATTTTTCCGAGCAAACCTAAACGTATCCCTAGATGTCATCGGAGACAAGTGAAAAATCACGCCCCAGGAAATGCGTTGCGAGCCTCTTTGGACCATCCAAAAGTGCCCCCAAAGGAAGGCTTTGGGTACAAGAGAACTCCCCAGGGGAGCCTTTACGCAGCCCCACAGGCGACTGGGCCCTCCGGGTTCGCTGTTCCTGACCAAACCTAAACGTAATCCTAGCCGTCATCGGAGAAGAGTGAAAAATCAGGCCCCAGGAAATGCGTTGCGAGCCCTTTTCGCCCATCCTAAAATGCCCCCAAAGGAAGGCTTTGGGTACAAGTGAACTCCCCAGGGGAGCCTTTACGCAGCCCCACATGCAACTGGGCCCTACGGGTTCGCTTGTTGAGGGAATCTGGAAACAGCACAGATCCCACGGCCTGCTGCAGCTGAGCAAACCAAGATACCAGGATAACGGTGAAAAGCTCCTATGACAGTGTTCCCACATCGCACAACTGAGGAGTGCAGAAAAATATTGCTGCCAGCAGCTGATACCAAAAACAAGGTCTACGTGACTGCTAATTTCAAGGGGACTGTTTTCTTGCAGGTGGGGTTGTTTTCTTGCAGTTGTTTGTCTGAGTGCTTTTGACCAATAATCTTGTGTGAAACACTGTCCACCCCTGTTAAGTTCTCTATAAAAGTTAGGCTATTCGGGCAATAAAATGGAGCATGATCTGACTCTACTGTGTGTCGTGCTTTTGGCCGTGCTTCCTGCAACATATGGCGCCCGAACAGGCTGAGACCTGAACAGGACCTGAACAGGACATCGCAGCGGGAGACCTGAACAGATATCGCACCGGAGCAGGACATCGCAGCACCGGAGCAGACATCGCAGCCGAGCACGGACATCGCAGCGGCGCCGGGGCAAACATCGCAGCGCAGCGGGACACCAGCGGCGCCGGCACATCCGAACGGAGGTAGACCAGGAGACCAGCGGCGCCGGGACCGGCGGCGCCGGGACCAGCGGCGCTGCGATCTCGCCGCGCCGTCGGGACTTCGGAGCGCCCATCCGACCGGCGCTTGAGCAGACCGGACACCGGCCCGGACACACGGTACACACGCCTTACGGTGAGACGCGGTACTCCCGCTGAGAGACGCGGTAAACGGTGGGACACGGGGTTTTGCGGCGAGACGTGGAATTGCGGAGGGCCGGGGGGAATAGAGTTGCGGCGAGACGTGGAATTGCGGAGGGCCGCGGGAAATAGAGTTGCGGCGGGACGTGGAATTGCGGAGGGCCACGGGTAAACGGAGTCGCGGCGGGACGTGGAATTGCGGAGGGCCACGGGAAATAGAGTTGCGGCGGGACGTGGAATTGCGGAGGGCCGCGGGAAACGGAGTTGCGGCGGGACGTGGAATTGCGGAGGGCCGCGGGAAACGGAGTTGCGGCGGGACGTGGAATTGCGGAGGGCCGCGGGAAATAGAGTTGCGGCGGGACGTGGAATTGCGGAGGGCCGCGGGAAATAGAGTTGCGGCGAGACGTGGAATTGCGGAGGGCCGCGGGAAATAGAGTTGCGGCGAGACGTGGAATTGCGGAGGGCCGCGGGAAAAAGAGTTGCGGCGAGACGTGGAATTGCGGAGGGCCGCGGGAAACGGAGTTGCGGCGGGACGTGGAATTGCGGAGGGCCGCGGGAAACGGAGTTGCGGCGAGACGTGGAATTGCGGAGGGCCGCGGGAAATAGAGTTGCGGCGGGACGTGGAATTGCGGAGGGCCGTGGGTAAACGGAGTCGCGGCGGGACGTGGAATTGCGGAGGGCCGCGGGAAATTGACGTGATCACGGTGCGACGCAGGCCGTCCGGAGTCGAGTTGCTACGGGAGATAAGAGGCGTCACCGAGCAACAGCGGGGCGGAGATTGCGTAACCATGGAGGTGGAGGCGGCCGTGAAGCTTCTCTCTAACATTCTCACTATGAGAGGCGTGGCTTGCAGTACGAAAAAGGTTAAATCATTGGTAACTTGGGCCCAGAAGGAGGGCTTTCTGAAAGAGACCCCCCAAAATTTTAGCCCGGAGGAGTGGCAACTCATAGGAGACCGTTTATGGCAGACATCTACCAAGAAGGGGAAGTTTGATACGGATTTATGTAAAACCTGGCGTTTGGTGATTGATGCCCTAAACGGTCTGAAGGCCGACCGCCAGGTTGTCATGGCAGCGACGCAGGCTTTGTCAGCGCAGTCTGGGGCCCCTAAAACATCAAGTACGGAATCCGACACCTCGTTATCACAACTGTTTCCGGTGGATCCTATGCTGACCCCGGTTCGAGGCATGACCTCTTCAATAAAGGATTTGGCTGCAGCTATTGCTAAGGGACTGTCCGAGCCCGGTGCGGATGCGGCCTCTGACCTGCCCTCTTCACCTCCTGCGCCGGAAAAGCTCGATGCGAGGCCCCCGGCATCCGCGCCGCCGCCAGGGGACCATAAATCCACCCAGGGTGTCTCTCCCCCGCTATCGGTCACCCCGGCTTCATCAACACCGATGTCAACCAGGTGGTCGGGTATCATACGTGATGCCATCCTCGACGGAGATTTGCACGCCTCCTCCTCCTTGGCATGTCCAGTTATTGTCGACTCTGGACAAGGCACCGGGTCATGGATGCCACATGATTGGAAGCTTCTACAACAAGCCAGGAAAACAGTAACAGATTATGGATTACATTCTCAAGCAGCACAACAGATAATTCATTGGATCTTCCAGGCAGATCTGATGTGTCCCTTCGACTGCCAAAACATAGCACGCCTGTTGTTAACTCCCTCTCAACTGTTAATTTTTGAAAGAGAATGGCTACAGTTGGCACAAATTGAAGCGAGTCGTCCGCGTCAGACGGGAGACCCCCTATATGGCACCACAGTTGAAATGCTAACAGGAACAGGCCCGTACTTTGATCCTCAGCTTCAGTTGCAATTCCCAGAGATTGTTCATCGGACAGCTGCACAGCTTGCCCTACGAGCTCTTTTTGCCCTCCCTGGGGAAAAGAAAGCTCCTCCATTTGCTTCGGTTCACCAGGCCCAGGGTGAATCTTATGCCAAGTTCATCGACCGATTATGGACAGCAGTCATGGATCATCCTGACCTGTCATCAGACATGAAACGGAGCGTGCTTAAAATGCTTGCCTTTGACAACGCGAACACAAAAACCCAAAGCATCCTAGCTACGCTACCAAAAAATGCTCCCATTGAAGAGATGTTGGAGAGGGTAGAGCGTGTTGATCAGTCCAAGCAAGCAGCTGTGATGGCTCAAGCTGTTGCATCGGCCCTTGGTGATCCTTTGGCTGCCATCGTGTCCCGATCCAATGGTAGTCCCTCGAGATGCAACTCCCAAGAGCAGTGGCGGTGTTATCGATGCGGGAGGCTCGGCCATCTCAGAAGACAGTGTACAGCTACCCCCTGGTGCGACCTATGTCGTTCTAATACACATGCTACATCGGTGTGCAGATATCAGGGAAACTCCAAGAGGAGCGCGATCGGCCGCGCGACGACAACAGTAGCCGCAGCACAGTCAGACGGGGCGGATTTCTTGACAGCAGTGCCCCTGCCACCAGAGGAAGCCTCGGGGTGGACCTGGCAACAGCAGTAAGCATTACGTTTTCCGATAAGTCTGTAGCGGCCATTCCTACGGGGATCCAAGGCCCACTATCAAATACACCATTAGGCGGCTTGCTATTAGGTAGATCCTCTGTAGGCCTTAAAGGATTGATGGTCATTCCGGGGGTTATCGATGCTGACCACGTAGGAGAAATTAAAGTCATGGCATACACGCTCAACCCACCCCTCTTTATTCCAAAAGGTACCAAAATAGCCCAACTTGTTGCACTCCAGAATCATCAACCCTGTGCGGGGGCACAGGTCGACCGGGCAGGAGGCTTTGGCTCCACGGACCATGTTATCTGTTTCACCAGATCTCTGGCCTCCCGACCCATGATGAATGTGACATTATCCATCGGATCACACCAAATTACTGTCACCGGTATGATCGATTCTGGTGCGGATGTTACGATCTGCAGCACCATGATATGGCCAAAACATTGGCCACTAACATCTCCAGCCACTGGAATTACGGGGGTTGGCGGCAGCTCAGCGACATATCTCAGCGCACAGGTTGTGACGTTGAAATTCCAAGAGAAAACAATTTCAGCTAGACTGTACGTGATGGCATTGCCCGCAAATCTTCAAATGTTAATCGGAAGGGACATACTTTCTCAGCTTGGGGCGGTGATTACTACCGACAGCAAGGATTTTCCCTAGTGGCCACTGCTGCGCAACCGCCCACCCTGGCCTTGACATGGCACTCCGATCGGCCTATCTGGGTGGAGCAGTGGCCGTTGACGACAGACAGGTTGCAGCAAGCACAGACTTTAGTTCAAGAACAGCTCCAAGCAGGACACATACGCCCGTCCACAAGTCCCTGGAACACACCAATTTTTGTGATTCAAAAGAAATCAGGAAAGTGGCGACTTCTACAAGATCTCAGAAGAGTAAATGACCAAATGCAAGCTATGGGAGCCTTGCAACCTGGTTTACCATCTCCAACCATGCTGCCTGAGCATTGGTCCCTTTTGATCATAGACTTAAAGGACTGTTTTTTTACAATTCCCTTAGCGGACAAGGATGTCGTGGTTCCGCTCGAGTGGGCAGCCGAGCTCCACCACAGCCGCTCTCTCACTCCCCCTCCTCAAAGAGGAATGGGGAGAAAATATGTGAAAGGGGCTCAAGGATTGAGATAAGGACGAGAAAATCACGCAATAATTAGTGTAACGGGCAAACCAGACTCAGCATAAGAAGACAGATAGTAAGATTTATTGCTCATTACTAACAAGCTAGAGAAGTGAGAAACAAAGGAAAGAAACCAAAAGCACCTCCCCCCCCATCCACCCTCTTCCACCTCCTCCCCCCGAGCGGCGCAGGGGAACGGGGGAATGGGGGTTATGGTCAGTCTACAGCACTTCTTCTCTGCCGCTCCTTCTCAGTCACTCTCGTCCCCTGTGCTGTGGGGTCCCACCCACGGGATACAGTCCTTGACGAACTGATCCAGCGTGGGCTTCCCACAGGCAGCAGCTCTTCCAGAACTGCTCCAGATATGGGTCCGTACCACGGGGTCCATCCCTCAGGAGAAAACTGCTCCAACCTGGCTCCCCTACGGGCAGCAGCTCCTGCCAGATCACCTGCTCCTGCGTGGTCTCCTCTCCACGGGCTACAGGTCCGGCCCGGAATCTGCTCCGGCAGGGGTCTTCCACAGGCGGCAGCCTCCGTCGGTGCAGGGCCACCTGCTCCACCGTGGTCTCCTCCACGGGCTGCAGCGTGAAACCCTGCTCCACCGTGGTACTCCATGGGCTGCAGGGGGACATCCTGCTTCACCATGGTCCTCACCACAGGCCGCAGGGGACTTCTGCTCCGGCGCCTGGAGCACCTCTCCCCCTCCTTCTACACTGACCTTGGCACCTGCAAGGCTGTTTCTCACTCCCTTGACTCTCCCGGCTGCTGTGTGGCGCAGCAGTTTTTTCCCTGTCTTAAATATGCTCTCACAGAGGCGCAAAACAACATCGCTTATTGGCTCAGATTTGGAAAACAATGGGGCCCTTCCCAAACATGGGGCAGCTTCTAGATCTTTCTCACAGAAACCACCCCTATGGCCCCCTGCTACCAAAGCCTTGCCACGTAAACCCACTACATTCCACCCCTCGCCTCTGTGAAAAGCATATTTAAGATTACTCACAATATACTCTTACTTTACAATTATCACAACAACTTTCACAAATTTCACTTAAATCAAAAAGAAAACAAAATTCACCACACCAAAATAAACATAACATCATCACAGCACCGACAAGGTGGACATTTTACACACACACCACCCCTCGTCCCTTCACCACACTAACATCTCACAGTTACTGCTTTCTTAAATTCTTCACAACTTGTACATTTTTAACAATCATCCTGCGCATATTTTGCCCGTTACCTCTACCAACTATCATCCTTATCTCAAATTCCTCAAGCCCCACGTTGGGCGCCAAAAAGGACTGTCGTGGTTCCGCTCGAGTGGGCAGCCGAGCTCCACCACAGCCGCTCTCTCACTCCCCCTCCTCAAAGAGGAATGGGGAGAAAATATGTGAAAGGGGCTCAAGGATTGAGATAAGGACGAGAAAATCACGCAATAATTAGTGTAACGGGCAAACCAGACTCAGCATAAGAAGACAGATAGTAAGATTTATTGCTCATTACTAACAAGCTAGAGAAGTGAGAAACAAAGGAAAGAAACCAAAAGCACCTCCCCCCCCATCCACCCTCTTCCACCTCCTCCCCCCGAGCGGCGCAGGGGAACGGGGGAATGGGGGTTATGGTCAGTCTACAGCACTTCTTCTCTGCCGCTCCTTCTCAGTCACTCTCGTCCCCTGTGCTGTGGGGTCCCACCCACGGGATACAGTCCTTGACGAACTGATCCAGCGTGGGCTTCCCACAGGCAGCAGCTCTTCCAGAACTGCTCCAGATATGGGTCCGTACCACGGGGTCCATCCCTCAGGAGAAAACTGCTCCAACCTGGCTCCCCTACGGGCAGCAGCTCCTGCCAGATCACCTGCTCCTGCGTGGTCTCCTCTCCACGGGCTACAGGTCCGGCCCGGAATCTGCTCCGGCAGGGGTCTTCCACAGGCGGCAGCCTCCGTCGGTGCAGGGCCACCTGCTCCACCGTGGTCTCCTCCACGGGCTGCAGCGTGAAACCCTGCTCCACCGTGGTACTCCATGGGCTGCAGGGGGACATCCTGCTTCACCATGGTCCTCACCACAGGCCGCAGGGGACTTCTGCTCCGGCGCCTGGAGCACCTCTCCCCCTCCTTCTACACTGACCTTGGCACCTGCAAGGCTGTTTCTCACTCCCTTGACTCTCCCGGCTGCTGTGTGGCGCAGCAGTTTTTTCCCTGTCTTAAATATGCTCTCACAGAGGCGCAAAACAACATCGCTTATTGGCTCAGATTTGGAAAACAATGGGGCCCTTCCCAAACATGGGGCAGCTTCTAGATCTTTCTCACAGAAACCACCCCTATGGCCCCCTGCTACCAAAGCCTTGCCACGTAAACCCACTACAAAGGACTGCCAGAGATTTGCCTTTACGGTACCTGCCGTTAACAAGCAAGCCCCGGCAAAACGCTACGAATGGCTCGTGCTTCCCCAGGGTATGAAGAACTCCCCCACGTTATGTCAACTATATGTAGCCTGGGCTTTGGAGCCAATTCGAGCAGCATGGTGTGATGTCATTATTTACCATTATATGGTTGACATTCTGTTTTGCAGGCCGGATTGCTTCCAGGATTCCGATCTACACTTTATTCAGCGTACCCTGGAAGACAAAGGACTAAAGATAGCTCCAGAAAAGGTTCAGCGGAAACGGCCATGGCTGTACTTGGGATGGAAGATATCAGACTCTTCCATCCGACCACAGAAGGTCGAAATATCTACCACTTTGCATAATCTAACAGACGTCCAAACATTCTTGGGCAATATTCAGTGGGTCAGGCGTATCGTAGGAATTACTAACGATGACCTGGCTCTATTGTTACCTTTGTTGCGGGGTAGGAGGGCAGAACAGAGCATTACACTAACAAATGAACAACGGCAGGCCCTTTCCCGCATATCCCGAAAGGTTGCAGATGGCGCGGCTTGCAGGCACGTCACTAAACTTCCACTCTCTGTAATAATAGTCAATCATGTGTCTCACCCATATGCAGTGATTGGTCAGTGGCAAAAGGAAGAGGGGGGAAATAAGGGCCGACAAAAACAGGAACAGTGTGAGTCGGATGCCACTGACCCCAAAAGTAGAAATGAGATAACTAAAATAGACAATTATGAAAGAAGGATGGTAGGGCAACAGTTTCGAATTTTGGAATGGATTTTTCTATCGATACAGCCAAAAATGAGTATCCAGACCCGGACAGAAGCCATCGCGGAATTAGTACGTAAGGGTCGCATTCGGAGTATTGATATCAGCGGCCAGGAACCCGGGGATATTAGTCTACCAATAACTCAGGATCACTTGGAATGGTGTTTACAGCAATCCACTCCTCTACAAGAAGCTGTGCTAGGATTCCCAGGATTGGTGCATTCCCGGGCCCCAAAAGGGCCTCTATGGCAAGTTATAAGATCATATAAATGGCGAACAGTACCACAACTGTCGCCTCGGCCAGTAGTGGGGCGCACAGTCTATACTGATGCCGGTGCAGTAAGTAAGCGGGCTGTGTGTGTGTGGTATGAGAGTGGCACTTGGGAAAATCACCTAATTACGGGGTCAACGGGGGATACGTTACAAACACTAGAATTGTCCGCAGTTGTTTGGGCTTGCCAACGCTGGATGCGTGAGCCAATTAATATCGTTTCAGATTCTCTGTATGTTGTCAATGTAGTGAACTGGATTGAGGACGCCTTGATACGGCAAACTAAGAAGGATCGATTGTTGTCATTGTTTCTGCAACTGCGAGATGCCATTCAAGGAAGAACTGCACCTTACTGTGTCATTCACATACGTAGTCACCAGTTCTCAATTGGATTAGCAGAAGGTAATACGCAAGCAGACAAGCTGGTGAGTATAAT